AGGCAAGTCGGTGCATGGTTGGTTCGTTGTGATGGGGGTCACACTGATTTCACAAGCTATCTTGACTGCCGTGGTCCACTGCCAGAGTCAAAGTGAGTGACTCAAGACGCTAGCAGTAATAAGAATACCGCATGCCGCTTCGGAATGAAAATGTGCCTAAGCTGGCGATAGCGAGGCAGCGGAGGTCGGTGATGAGTAAGAGATCGAGCCAGCTGCGGACAAGGATGAGCTGGAACAAGGCCCCTGATTGAAATTACGTACCCGAACAGGCAGTAGAGATGGAACGGAAGTACGTAGGGTTCCATAACTGACGACGGCGCCACAAAGTGTGTGCCAGGATATGCCTCCTTTTGCCCTTGTGGACACATCCATTCCTCGTCGCCGTTACTATTAGAGACTGGTGCAAAAGATACTCTGACTGGTCCGGTAATCGTCAGGGGCCTTGCTGGGATTCGAACCCAGGCCACTTGCAACTGGAAACCCAAAGCAAGTATCGTACCTCTAGACTACAAGGCCATAGAGAAGAATCCCTGAAGTAGATGTTATCATTGTAAGCGTGTATTCTTATGGAGTGACGCGTTGTCGCCCAGGAAGGTGAAGATGAAAAAGCAGCAGATAACATCGCGATGAAGGCATCATGGCCGTGGGCACAGGGAACGAAAAAACAACAGATATATTCGTCATGGATAAATATGAACATGTCATGGTGGTACAACAACTCTGAGAAACAGGAACCTATTTTAAGGAAGTCAGAATATGCTTCAGCAAAACAGACATATTTTAGCTCAGAGACTTGAATGGTTCCTGACGGAATGAGGCCCATCGTGCGAGCACGTCGCCAAAGATATGCAGAAAGAGTGCATCACAAGAGAGAAGACAGAAGAACACTCACGAGGACAAGGAGTAACAATACTAAGCCGAGCATGACAAGACACTGGGAGCGAGAAGTCGGAATGACGTTTGAGAGCATCAGAAACAAGCGAAAAACATAGATTCAGCACAGAAAATACGTGTTCTTCTCATGGCTACAGAGCTTCGAAGTGAGCTGAGTTGTACGTAGATAATTCATCCGAAAAGAAAGCAAGAAGACTCGAACTCACCTTTGTGTTCCAACCAAAAGCATTCTAGAATTGGATTCGGCAAGTAAAAAGTTCTTGACACCGTGACAGCTTGCCCTAAACTCAGCCACTCATCAACTATATGTACAGTCCACCCATGATCACGTGCCAAGGACGCGTCGCGTTTGCATCTTTCAATTTAAGCAGTCCGCTTTAAAATCCATCCGATCTGACAGTCTAGCTGGATGCGCTTTTCGCAGTCGGCGGCATCGGCGACCTGCAGTACAATTGCACAGGAGCAAGGCAGGAAAGCCGATGCCAGTGCTTCAACTTTTGGCCCATGTGGGGGTATGCGCACCAATCTGAATACTATCTCGGAAGTGTCGGACACATACAACGTCCAGGACAAAGTTGGCTGGCGAGCTGTATGAATATTTGCCCTTTACCGATACGATTTACTAGGTTCTAATCGATGTACTTCCAGAGTCTAAAGAAACGAGTGACTATGGATTTTCCGCTGTTGATGTTGGGTCAGCGTCGCTGTACGAACATGTAAAACCAATACAACGGTATGAGTTTTTTTCTGTCTAAGGGCGAAAAGCTAATCGAATATCACAGGCTATTGGTCAACGGCAAGTCCGTCATAAATGTCAAGGGCCTGATGTTAAGCGACGAAGAGAACGCAAAAATCAAGTCATTTCCAAATCTTTCGGTGGTAGGCTGAGCAATATACCTTGCGGTATCACCACTCCAGGACACGATGATAGCTGGGCGTCACTGAAAGACCAAAAAGCTTGGTTTGCGGACATCTAGGGCGCTATACTGGAGTATTATGGGGTCGTGACCTAGGATCATGACATTTTCCAGTTCCTACATGTGTCGTGATCATATGTCAACCCCACATCTGAGCGTCTCGATTCAATCAAACTATATAAACACCCGTCCAAAAGTATCGATAATCGTATGGCTACGGGCGCTAGGGCACTTTGACTGAGAACCTGCTGAGGACTGTTTTCGGTCATTAGACACTCATCACTCATCATCCATGGCACACATTCTGAGCATCGATTCAGCGCTTTACGAAGAACAGAAAACAGTCCAAGATGCGCTTGAAGAATTGAACGCACAACTCATCCTCTACGAAAACCTGGAAAATGGCCCCGAGCACGCTGAGGACGAAAGACATCAGGCTTCGAAGGTCATGGAAGCCTTGCAAAAGCTTACGCGCCTACGGATGTACGAACTCAGGCATATTATATGAGGAAGCTACACGTGGGAAGGTTCTCAAGGGCTGACGGGAAGGAGCGGGAGATGCAGGTGCATAAGCTGTTGAAAGAGCTCGTGCTCGTCACCGGGTCTCATGAGGACTTGCGCTTGGAGCAACAGGTCATGACTCCTGTGGAGGAAGCATGGAAGACTGCCCTCGATGAACTCAACAAGCAGCTTGTACTCTACGACCGCCTTGGGCACGCACCTGAACAGGTATCGGAGCGGACTAGTGAGGAAGAGGGGGAGCAGGAGGAGGAGGAGCGTGATGCCAAGGTCGTCGCTGCCATGTACAAAGTCTCTGACGTACACACGGACCCAAAGGTCAAGGAGGCGTATCGGAAATAGGCGGAAGACTTCGAGTCCAAGGGCCCGGGAGAGCGGAGGAAGGCGTCGAATTGGCTGCTCAAGGGAGTGCTGATGTTGCTCACAACTCCTTTTGAGCTTGCTGGAGCTGTAATCTTTGCGGCGGGCTCACTTCTGTATGGTGTGGGATTGATTTTGAAACTGATGGATTGTTGCATTCTTCCTTTGAGGTAGCAGGCAAGCAATTTTATGCAAGGTCAGTGGATGTCTCGAATGATATGACATTTTTTTCATGATACTCATACCACTCTAGTGGATCAGGTCAGGAGAGGGGGGGATTAAACTAGGCGCATTAAATCGCCAACACATTATATGGATACGAGGTAAAATGAATTTGTCGGCCAATTGTGGATTCCTAGTTGACTTGCAGATAATGATAACTTGTTTGGCTTCCAAGGCGGACCAAGGAGGCCGTGACTTTGAAATAGCAGCACCAAACGATCGAAAAGAATGCAAGGATAAGAAGCCAGGCAAAGATAATGGGCACACTGTAACGACCATTTGGATTCAATGATCTCCATCCTTGAAAGGATGCGTCGATGATATTTCACTTGACTCAGGGTCAATGTGTGTTCCAAGTTCTTTCTCTATCAAGGACTCTTTCAACTGTGTGAACACACTTCTTGTTGTCGACAATGCAGAGACTTTTTTGGATTCATCTATGGATGCCGGATAAATCGCAGATGTCATTAATGAGTTCGGTGCAAGACTCAATGCCATCATCCTTCTCACCATGCGCACGACTGTTCTGTCTCCGACTGCTTCTGGTTACGAGTCACGGTACTTGACAAGAACGCTGCATGTGAGGCTTATCCTTCCATTCAAAACTTCGACTCTTACCAAACTTGGACAAATCAAAAACGCACACGCGCTCTTCTCAAAATTGGAGACTTGGGTGACCGTTGTGTATCCCTGCAAAGTGATTGCCTGCACGGAGGTCGTATTGCCTACATTTTTGCTCGCTGAGGGTGGACATAAACCCTGGTGTAGCGTTCGATTGCATTGGGCCCTCATTTAATCTTGATTATGGTGACTTCGATTATGGCTCTCATGCTCTGGCAACGTCCGAACATATTGCATGCGTCAGCACAATTTTCCAAACTTCAAGTATCCTCTGCAGTCCATAAGATTCCCCGGCTGGCATGACATGGTGAACCCACAGTCAATTGATATGAGCTAGTGCGGATGCTGTCAAAGCTTTTTTGAGGAAATCAAGGAAGAAGTACAAGCAAGGAACAGGAGATTTTCGGATGATGTCCATTGCGCTTACAGATCCAGCTGATCAAGAAGGTGACCGTTATGTTGGAAACTATGTGGCATGTGTTGGAACCCAACAAGATATAAAACAACTATCCTACTACGCACTGAAACCTTCAATTGTCATTAACACCATCGTCATCTCCATCCCGCGATGTGATGGCCAGTGCACGACGACTACTCCAATCATTATTTGACCATCGATGATGAGTTCAAGCAGCCTCGACACGACCTACAAGTGACTGTATGTCATCATACCTATATCAGCCCCTGACCCTTTCCCGAAGATATCTCCCCAGAGATGCGATTGGCAAGTCAAAAGCGTTTTCAAACTGGACCTTGAGGAACTTTTCTAGTGACAGGAATGGCCAGAGAGCCTACACTGAGGAATCCTCGGTTACTGGTCAACATTCCATTCCATTTTAAGCTGATGACCCGGGAAAAGGTGTTCCACGGACATATGTCCGTCGGATTGACCAGCTCTCTTCTCTGCTGCATACCGATTGTCAGTTGTCAAAAGTGTGCGAAGATTTTGCTCGTGGAACTTGCGTCTTCCTGTACCCTCTGACGTAGCGCCAAATTCGCTCGCTGCCCGGAGTATTAGATGCTAGATATAGTTCTTTCCAGGGTAGAAGGACACGCTATAGGCTTTGGGTATCTCTATTGAGATAGAAGAGAGAGAGGAAGGCTGAAGGAATGGCGTAGTTCGGAGCACCAAGCCACGAAGTGAAATATCGAACAAGCCAGTGAGGTCACGTTGTCACACTGTTCGAAATACGTTCCTTGATACGTTCTTGCCATGGGCTCTCAAGGGACTAGGGTTAAATTGGTCGCTCTTATATATAGTATGACTCTTTCTCAATAGCGGCACTCATCGTATGTCACAGAACCACCTTCACAAGGCTTCAGTTGCTATTCTAGCCCGCAACCATCACTGGCAGTTCTCAGTCATCGAGATCAGGTATTCCGGCAACTGCTTATGCAGTATTTCCTCGGTCGATCCCACCCGCGACGCCAGCGATGGCTCGGACTCTGGTTCTCTGCTTCGATGGGACAGGTGATCAGTGAGCACACCAAGCTCAAAATTATACGACTGTCTGATTAGTTTCAATAGATTTGACCTTGACGTAGGCTTTAACGACACTCTAGGGTAACTCTTCAACTGAGAAATACATAGAATTTCAATATCGTAGAATTCTTCTCCA